TCTTCGAAAAGTTTCACCATGGTGAGGAAATAATTATTATGTTGGGAGTTCTACTTAGAATAAATTTATAAACTTCTTGCCTCTCCCTGTATATTTTTCAGATAGTGAAAAAAATCCCTCACGAGGCTGCCAATTTTCATCAACCGTCTATAATAAAAGAGTTATAGTAGGTTGTACTTTATTTCATGTCATCAGTATATTATTGAAACATTATATATTATATATTATATATCTATTAAAACACTTGCGGATTCTAGGATTAGAGTTGAGTTCGAGTATAAAGGTGGATTTATGCACACTGCTTTTTTATTATTCTGTTGCTTTCATCAACTGTCGTAATGTTCATTTTCAATTGAGGACTATGATACCTTTATGCACTACTTCCTTATAATTTTGAACTCTGCCTCTTGATCAAAACATATAGTCCTCAGAGTACTTAGCCCGATGAAAATAGTCGTGTCATAACATTCCGTGATTACATAATTACAATAAGAATCATTCATTCAATGTTTTCCGAGTATAATTTGAACATACGAACAGAATTTCCAGAATTTACCACCACAATTTGGAATAAGCAGAGCAGGAAGAAATTGTTTTTCTGCCTTCTGACAGAATCGCGCCTGCGCAAGTAACAGTTTTATTTGTATTTTTCTTCAAAAGATAAAAGTTAGTCATCTTTCAGCGAATAGTTAATGAAAGATAAAATTCAATGTAGGTGCATGAATGAATGAACGGGAATACCTAGTTTTAACTTATCAGTGAAATCGTTAATAATTGTAAAAATACAGATTAAAGAAAAAGCGGTGTGCATAAAGCCGCCTCAAGGTAGTGTGTTATTCAAACTTTCAAGAAGGAATGAAAGAATTCTGTTATAATATAGGAGTGATATTCTGTCAAAATTTCATGAAAAGTTGAAGTCATCGCGAATATTCGAAAAAATATGTTTCATTTCGGGTTGACTGATAGATATTTTTGAGAATTTGGGAAATATACTACCCATAAGGGATTATACCAACCAGATTCACACAAAAGAAGAGGCGGTTGCATATTACAGCTCCCCCTTCTTCAGAACGATATATATACTTTGAGTTTATGGCGGAAATTTTCAAATATGCCTCATGTAAATTGCAAAATGTTCGAATGTTATTAACCAACTAAAATTAGTGTGTTGCTTGTTGGGTCTATAAGGAAGTTTTCATTAGTAGGGTTGAAGTTTTTTTTTCTACTCACCTAAATAAATTGGTATTTAGCGTACGAATATTTACCACATTGAATGCTTGATTGATAACGGATTGACAATCTGTGATTTATTCAAGAAATTTAACACGTTACCACGATAATACTATTTCCCAAACACATCACCATGGCAACAGAATTTTTTCAACACACATTCAGTCGTTTGAGTCCTCTCTGACCTGTCATTTGTAGGAACTGTCATCTGTCATTTTCAAATTTTGATGCAATTTGCAATCAACAATTTCTGTTTATATCAAAATTATTCATCGAAAATGTATGGGAAATGTAGACGGAACTGAAATCGAAGATAATATTTTAGGTACTTGCATATTTCCAAGAACTCTGTGTAAAAAGGAAGCTCTCATCTTTGTGAGCAAGTTATTCTATGCTAAGCATGACAATATATAAACTTAAGAACATTTATGTAAGCAAAAATTATGCAAGCAGACTATATGGATACAAACCTGAGAAATCGAAAACTTCGATACCTCAGCGAATCGAAAATCTTTCATCTTCCGCGTCAGATGAAAACTGCTAAATCACAAAGGCTTAGATTAACGTTCTACATCTACAACCAATATCACTTATACGGGCCTCGTTGATTGCATGCAGTAGCATAGTATTATTTTAATATCTAGTTTTCGGAATTATGGGATCTTGTCGAAAAGAGGAATTATGAGTTTGTAGAAAAAGTATAGTATGAAACGCGTTCATAAACTCTTCTAGACACTCGTTCCGCTCTGCTGCGACAGCAGTTACCACGACAGAATATATATTCATGTAGATATAAGTCGAAAAATTGCTCCTAACGGAGGTACCGCTCATTGAAGGCTTATGAAATTCCATACAGAGAATGATCTCTTCGTGGACTGTACAGTGTGTCCAATTATCGATGCTTTTGCCACCTTTTGCGCAATATCTCAGTCATCTTGAGAGATAGAGTGTTGCGTATTTCACATTACTAATTTACTTTTTCATTAAACGAATAATGCAGCAAACAGAATTTCCACAGTCACAGTCAGTTCAAGTTCAAAATTATCCCTCTTTGGGTACCTCTCGTATCTGGGTTACTTTTCAACTTACCAGCAGGACGAGAACGAAGCCTTATAAACCTTTCCACGTATAATACAGTGGCGTACTCATTATACCGGGTGACACAGGAGGCATGTAGCATCCTTCAGTTTTTTTATTCGAAGAGATAAAATTTTGAAATTCACAGGTGTTATATAATAAATGGTAGCGCACTTTACGAATTTAACGACATTTGATGTCACCTTGTACATTTCTTCAGTCTATCTTTCTCGCCTCAAAATTCTCTATCTAACCATGTATCACAAAGTGGCATTTATTCCTTAATTCGCTGTTGAATTGCTTTTTATTCAAAAAGAATAAGTTGGCTGTGACATGAATTCGATGATATATCGACACATGGTAGGCTTCGAAATTTAAAGATCATTAGTAAACCGATATTATTCAAAATGTTTTGATATTCTGATCAATGTCTGCAGGTTTTCAATAGCTTGTTTGAGTCAAGATGAAAACATTCGAAAATAACTCATGATATTGAGGAATATAAGATAGGAACATATTTTTTCGAATTCAGCTACTCGTACAGGACCTATCTGTCTTTTATATTCGCCATGTACCTATCACATGATTTTCCCATTTGGAATAATAAAACTAAAGTTTTTCCTCTTATACGATGATCCACAGGGCTATCAGTCTATTTTTTCATAATTATTTCACTCAGTAGGTAGGCGGTGTACCTACACAAAATGTTTTATGTGTTCGACAGTTAATCGATTGCATCAATAATTTTTCTTCTTCATTTGTCTGTTGATTAAAATTGCATTGTGATACATGGTTGGATAGAGAATTTCAAGACTGAAGAAATGTACAGGGTGACATTAAAAAAAAAGTTGGGGTCACTTATGATCAAACAGGTGGTTGAAAAAAATTGTCGGTAAGATCGTAAAGTGCGCTACCATTCATTATATACCCCCTGTGAATTTCAAAATCTTATCTCTTCAAATAAAAAAACTACAGGCTGCTACATGTCTCCTGTGTCACCCGGTATATCTGTTCGCTCATTTTTTGAAAACATAGCCAACATAGTTTTTCGAAAAACAAAATGTCAACCATTCGTATTTCTTGATAAGCTATAGGTAATCTGAATCGAAGTGGATAAAAAAGTACAGGGTGTCCCATTTGAAAAGAAATAGTTTGGCTTCATTTTAGGAAAATGAGTGATTACAGAAATAAAATGAGTACGCCACTGCATTATGCGTAGGAAGTTATAAAATGTCCCATTCTCATCCTGCCGAAAAGTTGAAACGTAACCAATATACGGGAGGTGCGCATAATGTGAGAATTTTCAACTTTGCCCTGAATCTCAAGAACATGAAGGACTGTGAAATTCTGTTTGCAGCATTATTCGTGTCACGAAAAATTGAGGCAGTAATATGAAAACCGCAACACACTTTGCAATAGAGAAGAATGAATTCAAAATTCAGTCCTGCCATTAATCAGACATGAAAAGGAATAACTTTTTTGAGATAAGATTTTGCAGACCTAGTTCCATGTGAACAATATTCAATTCAACATCAAACATGTACATGGAATAATCATAATTTCGTATGGTGTACTCTGTCAAAACCTGATATAGTGAGCATGTGAAGGTTTGAATATAGTTATTTGTTTCACTAGGCAGAAAAGTCCAAGATTTAATGCCGCGGTTGGCGTTTCATAGCCTAGGCATAGCCAAGGCTTCACATCTTCTTCTCTTCCATGTGAAACATATAATTTTTTCTCCAAATTCTTTTCAATTTCACGCAAAGTCCAAATAATCCATCATTTTTTGTTCACCCAAAGTCATTGTCGATTTTGATTACCAATTTGATTCAAATCACTTGGAATGTTGCATAGGATTAAAAATTCATTTTTAATGTCATTTGGAGAAAAAATCATTGAAAGCTTGATATGGCCATTCTATTCATATTTTCAGATGGCGTCATCATTATAAATTACATTATGATGAAATACATTCCTTGCATTCCTCGAAAAAATGGTTATATGTAACACGAAAAAAAAACGAAAAAGAAATCAGCTGTGCATGCACATTAAAAACCGTTTCACTTGGAGGTATTATATTATCAAATTAGGGTGTATGCCATTTGAAAAAAATGATAAAAGCATCTCGACTCGAACAGTGATGACTTCATCGAAATTATGATTTTCCTCACTGGTCATATCAGGCTTTGAACGAATTTTTTTCCAACATTTACGTGCTCACACTACAAGTAGAGGAGCCATATGGAGGTACAGTCGTCTTCAGAGATTATGTCGCGGTTGGACGGTGTCAGCGCTCTTATTGCAGGAGTTATTAGGAATGCTGTCATCGTCCATGTACGACATGTTTTCTGAAGACGACTGTACATTATTGTTGAAATATTTCATACCAGAATATTAAGACTCGATGAAGATTGGAAAAATGCCCCTTCCAATATGTACAAAACATATTTAATCAATATCAGTTGTTCTGGAGTAGCCCCATCATCATACTGTTCTATCCGCACGAATTGAGGAGCTTCAAATAGTTCTAGAATGTTTTCATAACTTTGAAAAAAATTGTGATATCTGTAATGATTTTGAAAATGAACTGAGTTCAATGTTTGTTCGATCATTCAAAGTGAATTGAACATGTCCAGCTTCATTTAGTATATAAGCCTAATGTTTGAAATTATCTGAAATCGCTATTAATATTACTAATCTCTTTGCAATAGCTCATGCAATGCAGATATATAAGTCTGTGCCATCTGCAACGTCTCAAACTTTGACAGCTTCCTATCGTTTCCCAGTGAAGGAACAACATCCCTCAACCTGTCGAATGCGTCATTCAAACTGTTCATTCGCCTTCTTTCTCGTGCATTCGCCGCCAATCTGCGCTTGCGCATAACCTCCATACCCGCTTGGGGTTGGACAACTTTTTTACTATCTGTCGAATACTTACTGTCGGAATAATAATCCTGCCTGGAGTAGGAACTCGCAGAACTTGCTGATGCCATTCCTTGGGATTTGTACTTATGGTCGTACTTGTTGTAGATGTTGTTGTTCTCGCCATAATATTCTTGAGTACCCCAAGTTCGCGTGCCGTAGTAGTTAGGGGTGTATTGGGAAGACATTCCTGGATCTGAAGCTGTTGACAAAGGACTTGATACCGTCAGCGAGTAGTGACTATCTGGACTTGTCGCTCTTGGTGAATGACATCCATCTGAAGTTGATTCTGATACTGACTTGGGTAGGTACATCTTCGGTTTCATACATCACTGGATTCAGCAAATTATGTCACAACACGATTATTCAGTATTCTTTGGCGTGAGATTGATATTGATAAGCTCCACATTACTATATGTTGTTTTTGATAGACTCGTTTCTCCATGAAACTGTTTTGGATGTTTGCTCAAAAACTGGGTTCAACTCATTATTACTCTTTATGTAAGTGTTTACTGTTCTTGTTTTCAGCAGAGACTTGGGTCATGTTGAAAATGCAAACATCCTCATGTATATCACTATTCAGTTCGTGATAGTTTTCATTGCCTCATTATATTATTGAAAACGGAACAATTCCTCAAAGTCAGCATCAAGATGCAGATTATATTCTGAATGTTCCGTTGTACAAAAGACATAAACTAGTTCAGTGATACCGTCTATCTGGCACACTGCTGAATGTTTTCAGCATTTGCGGAAGAGAAAGCATTCAAAACAGGTAATCGTAGCTCAGCACTTCACACTATGAGAGGTCTCTGGTCACTGTCACGTGCCCGGTAAATTCTTATCGCGAGATGATATTCACTGGCGCGTGTACAAGAAGTACTATTCCACCTGTGTCTTGATGCTAACTGAAGATGACTGCTCTTGACTGGGACACCGTTGGTGTTAAATCAAAGAAGTGGTAGCCGGTATCTTCAGTGCTCTTCAGCCAGTGTCGAGGCGATGACGGAAGATCATTTGTCGATGGTCAATGGTAAGGACGCGAATGGTAGGATCGAAGGAGAGTATAGCACGGGTTAAGAGTGGGTTAATGTTTGATAAAGAACGCAGATGAAATGCAGATGGTTAGATATATGGACGTGTCGAAGAAGAGACAACATGTCTATTTAATGTTCCTTTTTGAGGAAGAATCATAGTAGATAGGAAGTTCAACAAAGCTCAAAAAAGTTTCCACCAGAGACGGCGGTGCAATTCCCCATTATTTACATAAAACTTCCGAAACTTTGTGTTTCTCTCAGTTTTTCAGGATTTCCTCCGTAACCGTTATCACTACAAAAAAAAACAGAAGAGACAAAAAACGATTTCCATCAAATTCTACGTCGGAAAGATTACATGAATTATCCGTCTAATTGTCACCCCTACCTCACCAATGGCACCTGGAGATAGGAGTCGTAGTTCTGACAATTTGTAATTAATTGGTAGTATGCTGTATGTCAGAATTGCTTTTTCTTACCTACAAAAAAGGAGGATACATTGAATCCCCCAATGAATATATATGCCTCTATTTTTCATTTCATATCATTTGGGATATTGAGTATGGACATGATGTTGGGGTTTACTTGGAAATAAAAAGAGTCATCAAAAATAGATATTTTCAACCTCATAGATACTATTTCAGACCCATCACTTCACCTCTTGGCTTCCTTGGGTAAAGGCTCAGGTAAAGGCAAAGCACAAACAGTAACTTTAGTGAAGAGCAGAAAAGACTCAAAGAATATGATTGCTATATTCAGCAATTCTTAATCGAATGAGAAAGAAATCGCATGTGTTGGGGAGCTATTTACTCTCGAGTTATACAAAGCTCCGAGTAAAGAGACCTTCCTGAACCACCGCAGGTATGTTTCTTCCAATAAACTATTAGGCACGGCAAGGAATACTGCAATTTTGTCGAGGCTTCCACCAACATCTGCATGTTGTCAGGAATATTCCACGAGTGTTATTCATCAAATTCGAACATAGAAATGAGCTATAAAGAAGCCACTGCTCCAAAATAAGAAGTGCAGTTGATATCATGCAAGAAGGGTTGTTCCAGCGGTCCAGTTGAATTACATTTCAATGAAAGTGTTTTCTGTCGTGCTTCTATCGTCATGGACAATGATGCCTCAATTCATGAGTATAGAGGATTGAAACTGAAAAAAGAGTGAATTATGCCTGGAGGGTAAACCACTGAGGAAAGAACGCACCCAGGGCTTAACCTCGTGGGTGGTTTGGTCGAAAATATATTATCGAAAATTGGTATTGAGAATGTGACTCGAATTCTATGTAGGGAATTACCAAGCAATTACAGTTAGCACGATATCAGTGTGAGAATGAATTGAAAACCAAATTCATGTAGTAGAAGTAGAAGATATATTGCTCTATGTAGAATTTTGTTCCTGATCATCTTGCACGTGAATAAAGCTAATTCGTAATAACTTTCGCGAAGAACAGCATACTACCAACTTTTCACTATTGTCCAAAACTTGCACCAACTTCAGGCAAGATTATTTTCAGAGTAAATGTGAAAATTGAACGAATAATTAATGGGACCTCCTTGACGTGAAATTTCATGACTTTCATTTCCTATTCTCGAAGTTTCAAGTTCAGTTTCAAGAAAATTGACAAAGTCTGTGACAAAATTCGAATTGTCACGTGTTATTTGTGAAAAGTTGGGCTAAGCAATCTGCCACAGGTGGCAATTTCCACATTTTCATTGACCTTCAACTGATCATTAGCCAATAAATAATCCATCTACACATTACGTCTCCTAATGATACTAATTTGAGTGAATAGTGATATTGTGAGATGTTAGATAAGAAAATGTCATGAACATACAGAAGAATTATTTTTCATCCTCAGCGTGAACTGTCTTCAAGATAAGTATGTGAAAACTGTTCATCATGCTGGCGGCTCTTATGGAAAGGAAATATTGCAAAATAATCCTCGTTAGAACGGAGTTATCCTGTCTGATCTGCATATTGAAGTTTTCAATTCTTCATAATGATATCCCATGAAAATGTTGGTGTTGACACCCCTCATTCTGCGATAATATTCACACTTCATATTTTTGTTTCACTGAAGTTTATCAACTGTTCTGAAAATAGCCTAGAGGGCTAGATTTCCTCAGTTATGTTGAACTGTGAAGCTCATCCTCTGAAGATGGTAATAGCTCATAGAGGTCAACATGGTGCATTGTTTAGCAATTGTAGACAATTACATTGGATGAGATATAACTAACGAAGTGTACAAGAAAAACTGTACCTGCTGAATCTATACAAAAATCATCATAAAGAAATGTATGCCGCATGATATTATCATATAATGCATGGTGTTTCTGTCGGCTGAAAAAAAATATTTCGATATGTCTATTATTGAAGATTAGTTCATGTATTGCCGCGATGTAGTATATGAATACGATGAATGACCGAGAGACATCAAGAAAACCGTGAGATAAAATTACATGATACGACGTGAAAAAATATGCTTATTCATTTAAATAGAATGTGCTGCCTATGGCATCACAAATCTGTTCACAGCTGCTAAATTTTTACCTATTGTTATAAAAATATTCAGTTCAGATAAAATGAAAGATATATATACCACAACGCGATGAGACTCAGAAAAATATGACCCTGTTTTCCGGGTGTTAGCATCGAATTTCTCAAAATTATGGGAGAATGTGAATGTTCAACATACAACATAGGCTCTGAAGTAGAATAAATAGACTATTGGCCTCTTTTGACACTAGGAGGTTTACGAATAATAGAAGGAAATTATTTGAGATACTCTATCACAATTATCAGCCGCACAATGAAATTAACAATAAATATAATTTGTCATTGAGAGAATTCAATGGATTTTTCAATATTCACGATCTTCATTTGAAAAGCATTAACTCAACTAACCATCAACCTGTTGAACAAAATATTCAAAACCTTCGTACTGCACATACCTGAAACAGAGGTAAAAAAACTTATTGAATAAGTGTTAGAAACTACAAGCAAAATGGTATATTACGTAACAAGTGTTGTGAGAAGCATATAACGCACGAATGGAAAAAATACGCACGCAGCTGTGTGTATTTATGTATATACAGGGTGACATTAAATAAATACAATCAAACAAAGGGTATGATGATATGAGCTGTTAATGAAAGTAGGGATGAAAATATTATAGATTAGTCGAAATTGAAATGAATTGAAAACTATCGAATTGAATTCCGAAATTTCACGGAGAGTTTGATTCCTTTCCTGGTTTATTGGAGTCGGAATCATGTTTATCGTAGTTGGAAGAACAGAATTATTCGATTAAAACGCTGTCAGAATATGCATCGACAATACGTTGATTCTAGGTATGAGTTCTTTATTAGAATGATTCTTCAATAATACCCCCTTCTTGAGCTCCAAGAACACTTTTCTAGATATTTTTTTTATGAAACCACTCTTTTTCTTCTGGAGGAGTATTATTGTATAGTATTGGAGCCAAATAAATGAAATAGCATTAACATGTACTTTAATTTATGTGATTTACCTGATGTCCTTGACAGGTTATGTAAATATGTGAAGGATGTGATAGTTCATCTTTTGATGGATTTGTTTCTGTGGATGATTTTAATTCATTTTTTCGAGTACTGCAAACCGTTTCCTCTCCAGAGGTCGGCATAAATTTCAAATTGTTATTGAAATTCATTTCCATTTGGAATAGCAAAGTAGCTACTACTTCCCGATATAAGCAGCAACACTGTATTGATCGAGATATTTCAGACAGATTGAGTATGTTCGATTATCCACACCTACAAAGTTTTGTCCTGATTTGTCATTTGGTTCCCTATATATATAGACACTTCTACCCATTGTTCTATATGCCGTGAAACACCTTGTATAAAATAGATATGGTATGTAAATTCGACTAGTGTAGCCAGCCATATTTCAAGTATACTTTGAAGTAATATAGCTGTCTCATTCAAAATAATTTTGATTCTGAATATAATTCGTTAGATAGCTAGGTACCTACCTGAGTTATTTTAATCATATAATTTGGGTAATCTCCTTTGTGAAACATCTTCAAGTTGATCCCTACAGGTTCAGAGGACACCTCCTTATACTGTGGTACAATAATATCTGGGTCATCTACTAGATTGATTAACAATATCATCAGTTATTACTGTAGCAGGTTAATTTTTTTTTTTCATATATTTGAATATTTGCATATATTCACGTATGTGGGCAGTTTCTTCGAGGATTGTTGACTAACAAGTATTGAATGAAATTAGTTTTTA